AATGCGCATTGAGCATCTTTTAGGAAATGGAAATGCGCAGTATAAATGCTATTTATTATTATTATTATTAAGTGAACACCAAGGCGTGGATGTCAACAGAGAAGTCAAAACGGGGAATCAGACTTAGACTGCTCACCTCTCTAGCTTCAACAGCACAAAGTCTGCTTCGACTGTCAAGGCACCCAGAAAATAGCAGTTCACTGTTATTTCCTGGGAGCCTTGAATTTACAATTTCCACTGTGCATAAGAACATGTTAATAACCCGCCTTTGGGAATGGCTTAAAGACAACTTCAGTCAGTAGCACTGCCCTGGGGAAGTGGGGGGTTTGTTCATTATTTCAAAAAGTTGACAAACGACAAAGGCTATGTAAAACACTAACCTCTATGTAGTTGGCCTTAAATACCTCCATTGTCTCACTGGCCCTGGGTAGTTTCCAGCCAACGTTGATGTCTGGGTAGAAATACATGTACTGTATCCATATCAGATTTTTTTTTTTTTTAAATCATGCAGGGCGCTTTTACGCCCCCGTCAACACAGATTAATGACGACAATGACAATGACAATCTTTATTCATCTTGCAGGGAAAAAATTGTCTTTTTTGTTAACAATGACAGTCGACGTTCCAAAGGTAAGGTGCACTCATGCATACGCACAACAAGACAGGACATTAGTAAATATATATGTCTCACGTGCTGAAACAACATGTTACGTAAAACATTCTCTCTCTCTCTCTCTCTCTCTCTCTCTCTCTCTCTCTCTCTCTCTCTCTCTCCCTCTCTCTCTCTCTAAGAATAGTTAGGACGCGGGCCAACCTGATCTGAGAGTGTATTATTTCTTTGACACTTATAAAAAAGTTGACCCATCACCCCTTCTCCCCACCCCATCAAAGAGACACAGGTTGATGATGGTGCTGTTATTGACCCAACAGCATAATATATAAACGCCCCATCACACCCCCTTTCCACGCAAATTGTAAGATCACTCAATGGCAGATATGTACCTCCAAAAACAAAGGAAGAAAGATATAAAAAGTTTTTTACCATCTAGCATAAGGCTTTTGTCAGAATGAGCATAGATGTGTGTTGCTCTTAGAGTATGTATCTGTATATACAAATGTAACTCCAAACGTCTTGTTTTTAAACTCCTGCATGTGGTTGAATGATGCGTTTGATATTTGATGTGAATGTACATTTTGTCGGCTTTACTTCTCTTTTCATATTAAATTTTAATGAGAGTAATACAATATACATTTTTAAAATGTATACCTGCATGTGTTTTTATGGTCCTGTAGAGCCAAGTATTATCTTATCTCTTATCTTATCTGTTGCAGCTTCTGCTGTCACAGCCATTACTGCTGCTGCTGTTGCTACTACTATTATCCCTACCTCTACTACTACAACTACTTATTCTGCTCTACCAATTCCACTATCTCCGCTCTATCACACACACGCGCTCATGCATACACAAAAAAGCACATAGACAGATAGATATATATAGATAGATAGATAGATAGATATATAGACAGATAGATATATAGATAGATAGATAGATAGATAGATAGATAGATAGATATATATATATATATATATATATATATATATATATATATATATATATATATATATATATATATATATAGATAGATAGATAGATAGATAGATAGATAGATAGATAGATAGATAGACAGACAAACAGACAGACAAACAAACAGACAGACTGACAGAGAGACAGACAGCTGAACTGCTGAACCAAACAAATGCAATAGTCATAGCAAGATAAGATAAAATAGATTATATTGTCAACGAGATAATTTCTGGAGAAAGTTTGGGCTGAAAAGACACCCGGGAACAACAAGGGGAGCAGACGTAGATTGTGGTAATTTTTTGGTGGCTAATGTACCTAACGTCAGACAGCTGTATATCAAAGAAAATGTGTAATCCACAGTGTAAAAGATCAAGGGGAAGACCGCGTGGAACCTGGATAAGAGCCACCGAAATTGATGTACAGAAAAGTGGGAAGACATGGAATAACATCAAGAGGCTAGCCCAGGATAGAGAAAGGTGGACAGTGTTTGTCCGTGGCCTCTACCCTGGTGCAGGGTGAGAAAGACAATGATGATGATGAATGTATGTAACCCAGAAGTTGTTGACTCTCACCCTTTTTCCGTGAAGACAAACCAAAGCACTACTAACTTACAGGGCAATTCATCCACCGGTTTGTTCCCGTTGGGAAGTCTAGCGCTGAGCTTCTGCATGTCCTGAAGAGAGAAACGGTTCATGACACTGAGACACTCGGTTTCTTTTTTTTTTTTTTTGTAAGTGTTTAACGGCGCTCCCAACTGCATAAGGTCATATGAGCGCGCCGGAAACATGATATGTTTGGTAAGAAGTTTAAAATTTTGCCCGGGTGGCGGCCGAAGCCTGCTCTTTGTAACTTTCGAACCACTACAGGATCTTTAACGTGCGCAATTTGCACACGGGACCAGCGAGAATCCCAAAAGGCTAGCAGTAGAAAGGCTACAGAAAGAGTCAGGAGCCCAGAGGAGGGGTAAAGGAGGTGAAGGGGTGGGGGCAGAAAGTGGAGACGAAAGCAGAAAACAGACCATGATTAGAGTACAGGAAAGGAGATAAAAGGAGACAATTTTAGACAAGAAAAATTTCCGTGGCTGTCAGGTTTCGAACCCGGGACCTATTGAATGAGAGGCGAACACCGTGACCTCTAAGCCAGGAGAGCCCCCCTGAGACACTGTAAAGGTGTGTGTCATCATGTCCTTAAATAAGCGCTTGTCAAGGTTTTGACTTATATGGAGTTATTTATATAACCTTAAAGCTTTTTTAAAGTAAAAAAATACCAATCTACCTTAAATAGAAGTTGAGATAGTTGAGACCAAAGGAGGTGGGGGCCCCTAGTGTCTGAGGCTTCATTAGCGAGAAAATGACTGCCATAGTATAGTGAATTCCACAGATGTAGTTTTCTTGAAAGCAACAAATTTACATTTTTGTGTTTTTGACAAGCGTTTTTCAGTAAAATCTACAAAGAAATAATGGTGTTGAGCCCCAAACACAGAAACATCGATGATAATTGTCCAAGGAGAGGGGGGGGGGGGACATCTCTGGGGTATTTTTTTTTCAAATTTAATCATTTTGATGAGCGTCTCATTTCACCACCATACCACACAAATAGACTGCTTTGATTAAACTAGTTTATTATACTTATGAGAAAGATTTTCTGCACCACACTTCACATTTTTCTTTGCTTGGGAATTAATGTCTAACAAAAATATTCAAAATGGAGTTCTTTCTATTTCCTAACCAACAAAGTCTAAAGAGTACGCAGTGCAAATCTGAAACAGTTTGCTTCAACAACAAAAATATGTTGAAGCTAAAAACTAAAGAGAGCTCTGCTCTAAGGTGTGGAAGCTTAAGTCTGGACAGCACACCATACAGTCTTTCAAGGCAAAAGTTTTGCAATATGAACAATAACTGATGTCTAGCTTTATTTTTGACTTGTGAAAAAAAGAAAATGTTCACAGAAAGGATTTTAAGTCACTTCGGTTCAAACATAAGACTGACTCTAGACAACTGTTCTGAGCTCCAGGACACATGTAGACCTAAGACTTGTTTGGTCACACTTTACAAAATGTATTTTTACAAAATGTATTTTTACAAAATGTATTTTTACTAAACGTAAAATACATTGGACACAGTGAACGCAAGATTAGAAAAGATGAGAACTCGAAGCACATAGCGGAACATTTAGTGTACTTGTCTCACCGACCCTCTGACCTTATAAGCACAAAGTGCTGCACTGGTGATGAACTATCTTGACCGGACTATCATTGTCAAGGTCAAAGACAAAAGGATCGTTAGATTGTGGCATGAAACATGTAGACGTATTACATGTTGTATAAGGAAGCCGATGGAAGCCAATAGAACCTGGCCAAGGCTTAAAGCTTTCACTTGACACAACAATGAATGCCATAACCAACACATATACTATTTTAAAAAATTATACAACAGAAAAGTGTTGAATACCTTTCGTTACAGCCACTTCTGCTTTGCTGCAAACATTTTTCTAATAAACAGTCATCTAATACTTTACAAATCATGTATTTATGTATTACTGAGTGATTTAATTATATACCTATTATTGTGCGGTTTAATTTCTCCAAACACAACACATTTATAGTCATGACACTAATAAAGTAAAGTACGCCCCCCCTGATAAAGTCAGAAACAACAGGAAGATTTTAAAAAAATAATGACCGACCAGTTGCCACCTCTTGTCCCTGTACACGAAAGAAAGCTGAACAAAAAATATGGCGAGCAGACACAAGAGAGGTCACCCATACAGGAATGATAAACCCATGGTTGGTAAAATAACAGACTACACACCCATCCCTCACACACACACTCAGTAGATATCCCGACTTCTATGCATTTCCTGTAAAATAGTCAATATCGATTTTTAAAAATCACCCTGACCTCAAATTCAACCCGGAACAGCAAGTTTGAATCTCCGTGGAGCTGTACCAGAGTTCGTCTGAACGTTCGAATCAGGATAGGTCTGGCAAATAAATATCATATCAACATTGCCAAGCAAATAAATATATAATTTGTAGTGAGATAAATAAAACACAGGTACAAAATAGTGTTTGAAATACATTATAAAATAAATTACATTGTTCTCACCCCAGAATATCATGTCAACTCCAAAACATTTTTTTTTTAAAAAGCTATTAAAATTTTCTCGTTAAAAGAATAGCCAATATTGACTTATGCTTTGGTGCTTTGGAAATTGAAACACACACACACATACACACATACACACATACACACACATACACTCTCACACACACACACATACACACATACACACACACACTCTCACACAAACACACACACATACACACAATCACACACAAACACACACACACATACACACATACACACACACATACACTCTCACACAAACACACACACATACACACATAAACACACAAACACACACATACACACATACACACACACACTCTCACACAAACACACACATACACACATACACACACAAACACACACACATACACACATACACACATAAACACACACACATACACACATACACACACAAACACACACACACACTCTCACACAAACACACACACACACACACACACACACACACACTCTCAAACAAACACACACACATACACACATACGCACACAAACACACACACATACACACAAACACACACACATACACAAATACACACATACACACAAACGCACACATACACACACACATATACACACACACATAAACACACACATACAAACATACACACAAACACACACACACACATACACACACACACACTCAAACACACGCACATACACACATACATACACACACACATACACACACACACACACACAAACACACATACACATATACACACAAACACACACACAAATACACACATACAAACACACAAACACACACACATACACACATACACCCACACCCACACGCACGCACTCAAACACACACTATAGGCCTTTTTGTCTAGATCTAAGTAACCATAAAGGTCTAAAGTGCCTCTCTTGAAAACAATATAAAAAAGATGACAGACTACCCCTGGTCCAGACATGAAAGTAATAATACAGACTCAACAAAACAATATATCAAAAGTTGGCTTCAGTTTCTAACACTAAAACTTTTCCTTGCGACATTCATTGCCTGAATAACAACAGACACATCTGCAGTTCAGAATATTTATTGTGTTGATTTTTTTTTTTCGTTATTGAGAATATGTCAGATTTAATGAAGTGGACAAATTAATGAAAATGAACTCTAATTTAATGCCCTTCATGCTGACATGACATATATAAAAAAAAGGAGACTAGCGGTACCACTGTCTGACCCTTTGCCAAGCAGCACTATCAAAATCCAGAACACCTGAAATTAATATCAAACTCTAAAATAGTATATCTATCACTCAAATGGTATGAATTTCAAATTTTATATCACGGATTTGTTTCCCTTTGTCAAACCCCTTCCTGGTTATATACATACTGAATATTGTGGGAAATTAAAGTTAACAATATAACGTCAAAGAAATCGAAAACAAAGACAAAATTTCCAGAAAATCAACTCCTCTTTTTCTATAGTACTGAGACGAAAGTTTTTCTGTTTTGATCATCTCTACAGTACTCAGGTGAAAGTTTTTCTGTTTTGATCATCTCTACAGTACTCAGGTGAAAGTTTTTCTCACCTTCGTGTTTTGATCATCTCTGTCTCCTCAAGGGCGCCCTGCTGCACAGGTCCTATTTCCCTATGAAAAGAAAAGAAAAGAAAATCATAGAAGTCATACATACAGAGAGAAGTCAGACAATGCCAATCAAAAACTGAGAACATATTTTTCTGGATAATATCGCATCATTGCTATGCATTAATCCATAGAACGCTATTTAGAAGGCGATATTCCTTTCCCTCCATGGTTGTTGACAAAATTCACGTACTTGTCAACATCTGAGTAGAGAAATCAATGCACATGGATATACATGCTGGCATAGCATACATATTATGTATTTAATGTCAAAAGAACAGAGAGTGGGGAGTTGATCTCTGGTGCAAAGAGCCTGAATTCAAACTCTGGGCATATTTAAAGAATTTTTCAATATCTACTTATTGAGGGTTAAAGACTTTACATAACAGAAATAAAAATTTTTAGCCAAAGGGTGAATTTCTCGAGGAAAGTAACTCTTGTTTTGAGAAGAAAACTTTAGTCCATTACGGACGTAAACACTTACGGCACGCACAAAGTTGTCTTTTACGGCCTGTACCTTGCGGAGTGTGAGAGACAATCGAGGCAATAGTGCAACCAGGCTGTTCGGATTCTTTTCTCAAGACTTGCCAGCTCCTTACCAAGGGTACAGGATAGCAGACGCTCTCTTTTCTGATGGTTTCTCTTTTACTGCACCAAGCTTTCCACTTTACACCACAGTTACTTAGTTTTTAAAAAACTTTTTTCTTCCGCTTGTACCTGTGGGTGTCGCGGGGAGACCCAGGTGTCTGTCTGCAGCAAGTCGTGTGGCCTGTAGGAGGGACATCCCGTGAGCTCTGAGGGTGTCTGTACAGATTCTTTTCATCGTCACCTTGGTCTTCCTCTGGCTCTCCATCCAGAATATTTAATGTTGTATGCTCTCAGAGCTGGATGGTTTGAGGGCATCCGCGTGAGGTGTCCGAACCACTTGACCTTTTGTTTTTCAATGTGTGGCAGGACTGGTGTTGCTCCCACGGTGTCCCTTATGACTTCATTTTTAATTTTGTCTCTTCTTGTTTTGTTGACCGCTCTTCTTAAGCATTTCATCTCGCATGTGACCAGTTTCCTCTCTAGGGCTTTTGTTAGAGTCCATGTCTGGCACTGATATGTGAGCGTTGGAAGGAAAATGGCGCTGACGAGCTTCGCCTTGGTGCTCATGGGGATATTGGGATGTTTCAGGAGAGGGCCCAGTTGGTAGCTGACTGCGTTGGCTCTCTGACATCTAGTCTCTATCTCTCGATCTAATTTTCCATTTTCTGTGAAAATGCTGCCCAAATATTTGAATTCTCTGCTTTGTTTTAGTTGGGATCCATTGATGTTGATATCCACTTTACGTGGTCTCCTGCTAATTGTCATGACTTCGGTCTTGCTAATACTGATCTTCATGTCATATTTTTCGCAGCTCGCATTTAGTTGGTTCATATGCTCCTGTAGCTGAGTCTTGTTGTTCATCATTGCCAGGTCGTCTGCAAACTCCTTATATTTTTATTGAGCAATATTAATATCCCCTGCCGGCCTGTTAAGCCAGTCGCAGTTTCACCAGAGCCCCTTTAGCCAGCAACGTTTCGGGGTGACCCGGGTCGGCCTTCACGGCTAGCGTAACGCTTCAGTGACATGACGTCACACCGTGCTTCACCCAGACCCAGCTATCCCCTACTTTGTCCTGTTTCCACCTCCCCCGACGAGGACGAAGGGTTGGACTTCGAGAGACACCACACAAGCCAAAGAAAAAGTATTCCAAATAAACAAACATGACTATTGTCTGATCAGTGTTTAAGAGTCAGTTAGGACGCTAGCCGGACAGATATCAAATTTAAAAAATGTTCTCCATTGTAAAAAGGCATCCCTATTCAAACCGTTCATCTTCCTGGATTCCAGATGTACTGTCTCCCGACTGGAGCAACAAGATAGTCGAGATGTGAAGGGACGGAAGCAGTTCTTGGGCAATCTGCTTTCTATTTATCTACTGTCCTGGCAAAGCTATTTTTTAGCCAATATCGATATCGATAGACAGCTACCGACGTTTAAAAGGGAGGTGTTCAGCTTTTGACCTCCTCCCTACCACTTATATTTCAGATTATACAACGGTGGGGGGTTTTGAAATTCACCACACTTAGCGACCAAATTCATCATGTGTTGACGGAACATAAGGGGAGTAATTGCAATGGAGACCAAAAGGGTTTGCAATCAAGAGGATAGACACACACAAAAACCGAACTTGCGGGCGTCGGTGGCCTAGGGGTTAGGCTCTTGTGTCCTTGGGAAAGGCACTTTACACGAATTTTCCTCACTTCACCCAGGTGGGAATGGGTACCCGGCTATAGACAGCAAAAGATCTTGTCAGTTTGTTAGTGTTTGAGCGCTTAATCAGCTGCTTGCACTGTATGCTTCCCGGGAAGCTGAGAATGTTTCGGAGTGTTCTATGGTCTGCTGGGGTAATAATATAGTGTAAAGCGCATAGAGCCTGCTGTTGAGCGGGGATATTCGCTATACAAATGCTATCTATTATTAAATGCTATCTATTATTAAATGCTATCTATTATTAAATGCTATCTATTATTAAATGCTATCTATTATTAAATGCTATCTATTATTAAATGCTATCTATTATTAAATGCTATCTACTATTAAATGCTATCTATTATTAAATGCTATCTATTATTAAATGCTATCTATTATTAAATGCTATCTATTATTAAATGCTATCTATTATTATTTTGACTTTGTGTCAGAAGCAATATTTTTCTTAAGAAGAAATAACACTGTTGACGACATTCACTTTTACCGTCACGTCTTCATCTAGTACACAATTCTATCAGACTTCATTTTCTCTTCCAGTCTAAGATACAGCTTTGAAGATACATCATCGAAAGAGTAGTTGAGACAGTAGAGAGAAATAGACACACTGTGGTTTCTAGTCCATAAGGGGCGTCGAAGTCATGTGATGACCAGGTTCTCTAACTAGCTTTCACAGCAGACGAACGCTGGAAACTTTTATGTTATTGGGTACTGCTGGTTAGTTGTTTCGTTTCAAACTAAGAGGGTAGAATCCCTTTTCATGGTCGACTTCATTTGAACTCACTTGTGATCCTTTTGCCTTCTACGGCGGCAAATAAAGAAAATGACGGCCAAAATGATCCCAACAACCAACACAGAGCAGATGACAGCCCAAACAATGACAACAATATTGTCATCGTCATTATCCACTGAAAAAAAAAGAATGCAACGGTCAATAATGCAACCAATACAGTTTACGTCCATATTAAAGTGAGGAGTATCCATAGATGTACGCTATAGTTAACTAGATACAGTACGCCCCTCTCTAGCCTTGCTGCGCGATGGCCACATTTGACAGCGGCGTCCGCCATGTTTTTTTGTGGCAAGTTGTGTGAAGGAGTTCATGCTAAAGCAATGGGCTAGGCATGTTTTCTCTCTCTCTCTCACACGCGACAGGCGAGATTTGCTTCTTGTTGATTTTTTTTTTACATGGGCGCCGTGGCGTACTATATCTAAATTACTAAATTGCAACAATACGGCGTTCTTTCTACAACTAGATCTACAAATAAATGTATTATTAAATAGATAGAGATAGAGATTTGGGCTTAAAAAAAAAAAAGAAGAAAAAAAACCCCAACCTTTATTTGTTCATCAGCACTTTATCTACGAGGTGGTTTATTTCTTATTGACCGAATCAAAGCGTATAGGGCCTATAGAACTTTTAAAAAGAAGTATGAAAAGATGTGGGTGTCATGGGAACCTCCCATAACGACTCCACCCTCTCTCTCCTCCCGAATCCCAATACCACCCCCCCCCCCCCCGCCCCCCTCAAATATTTGAATTTGACGTTAAATTAAATCAGGATGAGCCATAGGAAAACAAATCCAGAGTTTTTCAGCCTTTAGGTGTAGGAAGGCAATGAAGCTCTTGATGAGGCAAATTCTGCCAAACAAATGATGAATACATGTACTGGTATTTTTAAAATCGAGTTAAACTTTCCCTTGTGACATTTGAACAGGAAACTGTATTTTTCATTCATATGTTCACTTTAAAAAAAAGTATACTAAATGATAAGTTGTGTTTTCTTATGTCGGTATTAAACTTTGGTTTATATTGATTTTAAGAACTAAAGTAGACAATATACAGCACTTAAACTAAAGCTCCTTCTATTGCTGTTTTAAGTAAATCTAATTTTGGACATTAGTAAAACAACTGTGACAACTCTGGACTCACTAAAGACAAAAAAGTGAACTTAAATGTTGTTTTGTAGCCTAGTCAATTGTTTGTCTACTCAGTGTAGTGATAACTGAAATAAAAACCTTTACTAAGGTGTTTTTGGACATCATTCAATAAAACAAAACAATAAAAAAGTACACTGTTTCAGTTTGATAAAGAAATTTCCTGCCCATTGTGACAAAGATCTAGCTGCTAGTCAACCTTAACTTCACATGGCCCAGAACCTTACTGATGGCTCTTTATGTTTTAAAAAAGAAACCCAAAGTGACCATTTGTGTCTATAAGACATATTATGCACTAAAATAGATGATGCAATAAAAGAAAACAGACATCACTGAACTGCCAGACAGAACCAGTAAGACGTTAATCCAGAAAGGGACAAGAGGTTTCACATGCTTGCACCTTTACGAGAATCGCTTTGAATCAAAACATAAGTTAGAATCAAATAAAACACGTAAGACTAAGAGCAGAGACACGCCCACTCAAATGTAAACAAACTTTTTAGCCACATTAAAAATGGCCGCCAACAAACTCAAATGTGTCCGTGTCACGTGACCTCGTACGGACTCTAGTTTAAAAGGGGGTAACTCTATGGGAGTATCCATACAATTCGGTCATGCTCATACCCCACAAATATTCTACCTGATTCTGATAAATCAGTGTCTCCACTTTTCAAAACAAAAACGTAAGACACGTAAAAGTAAAATCAAAACTTGGACACATTAGAATAAGTATGGCATTCATTTTTCTGTTGACAAATCATCAACAAACTAGTATGCAAGTGCAAAAGCTGAAAGGTTAAAAAAAATGCAGGTGACACCCAGATGCTGATTTTCTCACGATTGTCTGGTATTGTTTACGTCAGAAAACAGATAAAATGCCTTTTCTTCAATCCCTGAAAAGGGCTTCTGTATTTCTTTAATAGAAACTCCTCTAGAATTGAATCTACATGGACTGTCTCTTGTGAAACTCAACAGAGGGAACACATGGCGTGGGCGACCTCAAAATTGTAAAGTTCTATCTGACATTTTTGGCCGTTTTGAGCTACGAGGACTATGCGATAAAAAACCAAATGTTTTATCTACTGTATCAAAATTGTAAGATCATTAGGAGCCGTTATGAAGATATTCAAAGAACTGCATTACAAAAAACCCCTGACATTTTGATGAAACTCAAATTTTTTTTCATCAAATTTCTCAAAACTAGGTACTGTGCAGATAGAACTTTGTATAGTAATTCCGAGGTAGTGAACAGTAGATTTGACTCTCGATTTGCTTGCTAGAATGTTAGCTCCATAGGAAAATACATTTTTGTCACTGCAATTAATTGTAAGAGGGTAGTTCGTTTTAGTTTTAGTAGAGGTTTTACGGCGCTCGCAACTGCATAAGGTCATATGAGCGCCAGAAGATTAGAGCTGTTACAAGAGAGTAACAAACATAAAAAAAGAAGAAGGGGAGATAAGGACGATAGATGTGTGTAAAGTTTCAGCTAATAAACACTTCTTGAGTGACATAGCTGACATGAACTGAGGGTCCAACACATTCATCTGAGCTCACGTTGACCTTGACCTTGGTGAGCAAACGCGTATGGCCTCCACGTGAAGCGATTATAGCGAGGCATCTTCTGTTCATAGAGTTAATCAAACGGTTGATCTGGCCATTTTGGATGCCATCAAAGATCTGGACGATGGCTGCAGTCAACTGGGCTGCTGTTCGAGGCCGTGGCTGCGTCTGGTTAAGCTGTCTTTGGATCATGTCCAACAAATGTTCAATGGGGTTCAAGTCAGGTGAGCGAGGTGGGTGTGCCAATAAATTGACACTGTTCTGCGCCAAGAAGTGCCGGGTAGCACGTGCGGTATGTGGTCGTGCGTTGTCTTTTTGATACAGGAAGTTAGGGTGCCTCTGTAGAAAGGGCACTACATGAGGGGCCAAGACTTGTGCCATGTAGCGCTGAGCCGTGACGCCGTTTCCATGTCCTGGACCAATGTTCTGGAAGATGACAGGTCCCACTCTATGATTCAACGCCATGGTTCCCCATATCATCACGCTCTCGCCTCCCCAGGGGTCACGCTCCAGAATGTTGTTGTCGTCATAGCGAATCTTGTCTCTACGCCACACACGGACACGGCCATTCGCTGGATCCACGCAGAACCTGCTTTCATCACTGAAGAGGACTCTCCTCCACTGGGCGTTCTGCCAGTTGACATGCACCTGCGCCCACTGTAGCCGTTGCTGTGGATGCCTTGGTGTTAGGACAGCTTCCTGGTAAGGACGCCTGCAGTGAAGACCAGCAGTCAGTAACCTCCGTGACACACTCCAGCGGTTAAGTTGGCTTTCAGTCGTTCCCATAGTCGTTCTGGCAGTCTCTGCAGCCGGCAGAAATGGATCACGGCGGTGCCGACGAATCATGACACAGTCATGGGCTGGAGTTGTCCCCCTTGGTCTTCCGCTTCCTGGTCGATCTGCTGTGGTCGCTGTCGCTTGTAATCGGTTCCGAAGGTGATGAATGGTGCTTGGGTGGACACCAAAAACCTAGGACACCTGTTCCACCGACTCACAGCTCTTTCTCTGTTTTCCCTTGATAACCTTGGCATGTCTGTAGCTTGTCTGTTTCGATATGAATGCAACATTTCGAGGCGCAGATTTTATAGGCATACCCCCAGGACTGAGTGAGCATAAACTCACCACTGACAACAAGTTGCAAATGTGTCCCAGTGGCGAGTGATGACTCGTGAGTTGTGTATTGCTTACGCAGCCAATGACATCTTTGCGATGCTCAAAAATGTCCAATCAAGACGCTCAAGGCAAGTGTTGAGTGATATAAGTTCACATCACACAACTATGAACTCAGCAATATATATTTTTTCAAAGTTTGGAGCAAGAGAAAGAAATTAAAACCTGAGAAAATAAAACAACTGTTACCGTCAGTTGTTGTTCCAAAGACAGAATCATTGTTTAAGTAATCCACACAGCCAGCGCCGTTGCACACGATGACGAGGACTCTGTTAATGAAACAAACGTACAGTATGTCTGTTGATGAAACATGCACACAGTAATTAAGCTCTTGTATATGGAAAGTTTTTATCAAAAACCAGGAAGTAATTGTTACAGTATTATGGTTTTACCCTAATGTTTTGGCTGATTAATAGAAGCCAAGGTAAAGTACTGATAACTGTTCATGCTTGATGAGAGCTCTTCAATAAAAGAGTAATTGCACTTAGCGTGAAGCGGCTAACCAACATGGCGAGGTTATGTTCTGTGTCTTGTGTTCATATTCAGGTGTCTGTGGTTTATCCTTTTTTGTATCGACCATCCACACCTTTGCAGTAATGACATCACACAGACTGTGTCTTTATTACTAATTTAGAGATAGGTGTTATCAGTTTTGTGGAATAGGGAGTTCAACAGCTGTATACTATCCCTAAAGCAAAGTGTATGCGCCTGTCTGTGTTGAGGGGTGGGTGGGATGACTTTTGAGGACCCCCCCCCCCTTTCTCCTTTTTTATCATTGAGAATTTTGTTGAACGGGAAAATGAGACAGTCGTAGAAGAAGATCTGCCTTGAGAATGTAGACCGTTGAAATGTAGGAAGGTCCTAGCTGCAGACATCGTCTAAGACAGACGTCTCATGGGGCTCATCTACTAAATGCTGCACCCTGGTGACGTTTAAAGGGGTGTGAACGGTGTGTGTTTGACCTGAAGAGGTCGTTTTGTCTGGGAATGTTTAGGTCTGATTCTCTACAGGTCCTAAGAGAAGGACTATTTTCGCCCTTGACACCAAAGAAGGCCTTTATGGCACTTTAACACTGTTTCCGTATCCTGTTCGATACTTACGAAATGCGTTGGTGGTGAGGAAATGGTCAATACAAAATGCTCTCTGCTTTGTACTAATCTTAACCATGATCTCAGCAAGGAAAGGGAACTTGAGAAAAACTATCTGCAAACTTCTGCTGGGCTGTTAGACTGCTGTAGCTTACAACATGGCATAATCGTTGGGATTTTTAGTGGTAGGCCTATTGCGAACTAGTGCGTCATGCTACAAAAATGGGGACATAGCTGAAAATGGGTTGTTTATTACGCGCTAAGTAGAGTAAAATTATTCTGAGGATTCATCTAAAATGAATTTCAAACGAATTCCTCTTGACTTTTTTGTTTCCAAATTTGAATCGCAAAACTTCAGTGTGGAGTAAAATAGTAACAAAAAAGCTGTAAAGTTGTTTTATTGATCCCCCTGTAGTTGAAAGACAGCAGTAAGAAGGAGCCAATGCATAGCAAGAGAAAGGCCGCAGAACGAGTCAGGAGCCCAGAGGAAGGGGTAAAGGAGGTGAGTTAGCGGGGGCATAAAGTGGAGACGAAAGGAGACGACAGAACATTGCTATAGAGCAAGAAAGGAGGCAGGAAAATTGTCTGTCTCTATTCGGATTCAAACACGGACCTATTGAATGAGAGGCAAACGCTTTAACCTCTAGGCCACGAGAGCCCCCCCCCCCCCCCCCCCCCCCCCCCCCCAATCACAGGTCCGGGGCAATCCAAAAAGGGAGATGTTTTAGAGGGACATTTTTGTTCCTATTGAGCTGGGTTAATACAAATGCAACAGAGTACTTTCATACTTTAAAACAAACAGAGAACTTTGACAAATACATGACTTCAAATAATGTTTAAAAATATTATAGGAACTGTATCTGAGTAATCGGATGAGAAAGCAAGTCCCAAACGATCACGTGACAAGGAGCATTGCGAACTTAAAATGGCTGCAGAGTAACATAAAAGTGAAATGTTAAAAAGTTAAAGAACTCACTGAAATTCTTCTCTAGCAGGAAGTGGGCCATTGCAGAAGTCAGTGCCGTTATCGGAACACGAGTTATCTTCCCCAACTGTGAATACATATTGTCCTCCTGGCCTTCCTGAAAAATAAACCCCGAAAAAACAACAACATGACATTAAATGCAAGAAATGCTTGATGGGTTGTTTTTTTCACCAAATATAAGGGCAGGGAAGATTTGTAAAAAATGATTTACTTCCCAAACTGATTGATGAACTCTTGACATAACACAAAAAGCAGCTATCTTAAAATGGTAAAACATAGAATTAAGCTGTATTTTTATGAACGATGTTTCTTTTATATATCATGGACTGCTTCTTCTGCACTTAAAATGTTCGCCCCATGTCGTCAAATTGTTCCCCTAAGGCTCAGCTTTCAAAAGGTCATTTCACACTTACAAAGCCCCCTCTTACGTTTTGTCTCGTATTAGAATGTACTACATCCTTCTTTAACATAAATACCACATAAAATGAAGATCAGTTTCAGTTTAGTAAGAATGATATGAGGGTGCAGGATTCAAACTGGGTTGTTGATTTTTCTCGTTAGTTCACAGACAGCTTGGTTTTATTTTGTAAATAGTTTGTTATTCAAAGAAAAAATTCAGTTTTCAAAATAGTAGTTTACACTACAAATGATGCAAGCTATATTAAGGTGTACAGACCTATAGTCTTTCTAAAATCCAGAATTTTATTGGGACCACTGATGGAAAACAATAAGTTCTCTCTTCTTTTATTTGTGTTCCCTTGCTATATCTCAAAGATAGTTCTCCAACCTGCAGTGCAACTGAGTTTAAAATTGACACAGGTACAAGTAAGTAGATACATTTGAGTGTGTGTTTTTTTATTGACGTTTTTACACTCACATGCAACAACTTCAATCGTTTAGGAGAGAGGCTTCCAATTCTGCCTGTCAGGGCCTACATGGGCTGAGAGACAGATACAACATCACAGCAGAAAAACCGCGATACTCAATGAAAAATTCTCACCCACTCGGCAATCAAACACGAGTCTCCTGAGTGCACAGAAAAATACCTGACCATTTCACCTCAGACACCTGTCATTGGAGTGTGGCACTTCACTTATTTATGGATGTACAGAAAAGTGGGAAGACGTGGAGTGACATCAAGCGACTAGCCAAGGATAGGGAAAGGTGGAAAGTGTTTGTTCGTGGCCTATATTCTGGTGCAGGGGAAGAAAGGCAATGGTGATGCTGATGATGACTTCACTTCTTTACTGAAATAGCCTACCTCCTATTGTGGTCTACAGGGCCTATCCTTTCCCCCTGACGCACTGAGGGGAATATATTTCGCTAAATGTGTTTCTCCCCCCCAACCATGTCCAGCCTTACTTAACAGATCCTGATGCCAGCCCCGTGGAGTGACTCGGTACATGCCAGTAAACCCTTCCTTCTTGGCGTCGGCCCATGTCTTCAAACTGACCTTTTCTGTTTCACTCTTTCTCCGGCCTGAGAGAGAACAGTTGAGTTGATTAGGAGGTTAAAGAAGATTACATTAAGAAAACAATTTTTGAATACCAGTTTTTATTGTGTATACTTTTGTAAGAATTTACATTCATGGCTTTTTATTATGTTAAAACTTTTAATACACAACTCTTGCTGCAATAAATGGCAAATTACTTATTTTCACAAAAAGAATATCATTTCACCTTTTGTGAGTTCAAACTTTATCACCCTATTCCTTTGTAACTCTAAATAAAAATAACAGTTCTACATACCTACAATCCTGTAGAATTTTAAAATAAATTTGCATCGGCATCTGCGGTGTAATGGTTGGGTGATTTGCCGTCACACGCTGAAGATACAAGCTCCGTCTAGGTGTGGACAGAATTTTATCGAGTATTTCCGTCTGTCTAGTTGATCATTTAACCTTTTTCAGCCCGGGTTGGCCTTGGCAGGCAGGATCGAAGCAGCCTATCTTCTAAATGATTTCAACAGTCACAAGGGGAGACGTAAAACATTTATTATAAATATATTTTGTTTTGAGCTGCTGGTGTTTTCGACAGCTCAAACAGATTTTAAGGTGTTGTAAAACAGGCTTAGCCTATCCAACCCCTTTGGGTTACCTTTCTCCACCATCACATGGGTTGAGTCCACCCACCGCATCTACCACTCCAACAATGAACAAAGAAATCTCAACACGCCGTACTCGCTGAACCAGCCGGCAGGACACTGACATGACACACGGACACAACACCTCGACGTGTTATTGTATCCCACACCACACCTTAGGTACACCAGAATCATTTACTTACGTCAACATCATTTTATCACATCAGTATCATTTACCCACACCAGCATCATTTACCAAGATCTTCACCATTATCTTGGCTGGCATCCCTACACTGCAATTACACATAAAAATGAAAAGAAGTTTTCGTGTCCATTATAAGATTATGTTCTTTTTATACCATTCTATGATTAAAAGCGTACTAATATTTTGTATTTGATGCTGGGCTGGCAATTATAGGGTGAAAGATAAAGAAAATGGATGTTTGATAGGAAAGAAGGAAGAGAGATAATGACGATAGATGTTTGATAGGAAAGAAGGAGGAGAGATAATGACGATATATGTTTGATAGGAAAGAAGGAGGAGAGATAAGGACAATAGATGTTTGATAGGAAAGAAGGAGGAGAGATAAGGACGATAGATGTTTGATAGGAAAGAAGGAGGAGAGATAAGGACGATAGATGTTTGATAGGAAAGGAGGAGGAGAGATAAGGACGATAGAGGTTTGATTGGAAAGAAGGAGGAGAGATAAGGACGATAGATGTTTGATAGGAAAGAAGGAGGAGAGATAAGGACGATAGATAATTGATAGGAAAGAAGGAGGCGAGATAAGGACGATAGATGTTTGATAGGAAAGAAAGAGGAGAGATAAGGACGATCAATGTTTGATAGGAAAGAAGGAGGAGAGATAAGGACGATATATATTTGATAGGAAAGAAGGTGGAGAGATAATGACGATAGATGTTTGATAGGAAAGAAGGAGGAGATATAAGGACGATAGATGTTTGATAGGAAAGAAGGGAGAGATATAAGGGCGATAGATGTTTAGAGGAAAAATGAAGACGTGAGTGAGTCGGGCCTAGTGCAAGTTAGTCAAAGATTCACATATGCGATTTTGAGACAAGACAATTCTGTGACAACAGTCAAAGGGTTGTTGGCGGGTGATCTTGTGTGGTTTACTCTTTCCTTCCTATCATACCTGTATCGTCCATAGGTCTCCTCTTTCCTTTCTTTATCGCGTCTATTATGCTCTGCTAACACCCTTGATCTTTAACATTTATATGACCTCTTTGTGCTACAATTGCCGTAAAACTGTGACAAGGACAAGATGGCCGACGTACGTGTGCACTCTGGGTTGTCAGCACCACAGGTCTGGCAGACACGGCTGTCCGGGGTGAGGGAGAAGGTTCCTGCTGGACAGTCCTGGCAGCTTCCTGCCTCTGTCTGGTAGGTGCCGACTGGACACACCACTGCACGGATACACACACATAGACACACACGCATGTTACACTATAGATACATATACACAGACATACATAGACACACACAAACACACATACACACATTTGTGTTATACTATAGATACACACAGAGACACACGTACACACACACACACACACACACACACACACACACACACACACACACACACACACACACACACACACACACTCATACACACACAAACACTCACACAGTATATCATGTGTTAGACTCTACGTGTGTATTTAATAGTCTCGTGTGTGAGAATGAGAAATTTGCAAGTTGTTTTAAAAAAACACAACCATACTAGTACTGGAGAAAAAGAAAGATCCCACATCAAAAATGTCAAAAGCTGGGAATTGGCTTCCAGTTGATAGAAGAATCCAATAGAAAGTTTATGCCATCTGTTATAAATGTCGGAGCAATAATGCTCCATCATATATGTCAGAGCTTTTAACACCGTATGTTCCATATCGTCAGTTACGGTCATCCACAGGCGCAAAAAAATTCAAAGCTCCTAGAATGAAATTAAGATCTTTTTATGAGAAAAATTTATTCATTTTGTCGCAATAAAATGTGGAACTCCTAGACCAGGATCTCAGAGAAATGACAAATCATAAAACGTTTAAGCAATTGTTCAAGACTGGTTTGTTTAATTCTTAATCGTAGTGTGTTAGTAAGTGCTGACATGTTATATTTTTACTGCTGTCTTTACGTGTTTTAATTACTGTATAGTTGAGAAAGTTCTTGTGCATTTGAAGTATTTTTCTTGTTACTGTGGAGTGTTTTATGCTGTGAATGATGTATGGCGCTGAGTGATCATGCTACAACGTAAAGCGCTCAGAGTTTCTGCTCGTATGAGATAGAGCGCTATATAAATGCAATTATCTTTTATTATTATTAGAACTAGTAAAAGTACCTGTGCTACGAACGGAATAATAAAGAATTATTAGGAAAGTTCAGAAGAGGAAAAAGACAGAAAACAGGAAAGAAACAAAACACAAATATTTTCCCTTGAATGTATCCATGTAGCTCCCCCCCCCCCCTCTTGACTACCTCTAGGGGTAACACTTCTTCTCCCTCTTCGAAGGCGTGGCATTTTATACTAAAGTTCGAGATCAATCGCTTTAAAAAAAAAGAGTTAGGCCTACATGCCAATTGTTGCTTCCTAGAAGAACCCAATCTAGATTCTAGATCAAGATTTCAGATCTCATCTAGACACTGTGCACAAAATATACTCATCCTTCGGCGTGTGCGCTGAATCCACTGCAGGAGAAATCTACTTTCAATACTTTCATATCTAGATATATCTATACATACACACACATGCGACTACACGCAGGGCATAAGCCGGGCTACGATTGGGCGAACCTTTGACTTTGACCCATGTATACATTAAGTAGGCCTACGGTAGACTACTCTTTGCGCTTTCGCCGACACCCTCCCTGTCACTCTCACCACCCTCCCTCTGTAGTGCTTTCTGGCCTCCTCTATCTCTTCCTTTCTCTCTCCCTTTCACTCTCTCTCTCTCCTTCTCTCTCTCTCTTTCTCTCTCTCTCTCTCTCTCTCTCTCTCTCTCTCTCTCTCTCTCTCTCTCT